CCTGTAAAGAAGATAGAGTCTATTTACCTTTACTGCTGCCTATGCCACCAAATACTTTAAAAGGAAATCATACGCTGAACTTCGGAGAGTTGATCTTCTGGTCCCCTGCTGCGCTCAGTCGATCCTCCTGTCATTATACCACACCACAGTGACATAGGGGTCAGCGGAAGGAACCACAGATCGCAGTGTGGAACCAGGTGATTGACACTCTGGGAAACCATGTTTGCTTACACATTATTTTGTTACAAAATGTACGTAAGTTATGGAAGTAAGCTCCTCTCTGTATGCAGCTTTGGGGCATTTCTTTTATGCCCCTGAACTGTGTAAAAAATGCTGATCTAAATGCCATAATGTGCATTGGCTGAAATAGAGCTGCATTTAGAGTGATAAGAAAAAACATCCTCTATGTCAGTGTTGTTCTGCCTTATAGTGGCATAGCTGGATCAGCAAGGCACAACTGTTGTTCAGTACTGTAAAAGAAGGATGTTACTTTACAACATATACATTGCAAAAGCATCTTATGGTTTAGACCAGGGGTGGGGGACATGCTGCTCTTTAGCTGTGGTGAAACTACATGTCCCATGATGCATCTGATGAATCTCTGGGAGTCATGCATGTGGCTCTGAGAACCTTGCAATGCCTTATGGGATTTGTAGTTTCACCACAGATGGAAAGCCGGAGGTTCCCCACTCCTGGTTTAGACCATTCAGCAGAATTCTTTGAGTTGGGGTAAGGTGAATGCAACAGTATGCACTGCAATCAGTGTCCCCGATTTAGGGATCGTCAACTGCAAAATTTGGTTATGAGATGCTTCTGCCCTCTGCAGGTCACCCTACACTTTATTATTATTATTATCATTATTATTATTACTATTATTCAGGATTACAATGTAAGGAAGACATTGCACTTACAATACAAATCAAGATAAGATGGTAAGGAGGGCCCTGCCCACAAAAGCTTACAATCTTAAAGGAAGGGGCAAATGATACCAGAGGTGGTAGTTGTGTTGGTATGAATTGTTTGAGTAAGTGATAGTTCAGTGGTAAGGTTGAGACAGGTTAGACTTACGTGAAGAAACTAGTTTTTAGGGATCGCCAAAGAGTAGGTGATAGACGGACAGGTTGGGGTAAGGAGTTCCAAAGGATGGGAGAGACTTTACTTGTATAGTTGTCAGGAAAATCCTCATTTTTGGGGCTGACAACTAAGAACAGAGCTTACAGGACTGAGACAGCTGCGAAGAACTCTGGATTTGAGGCTTGGAGCTAAGCATGTCCTCTGGACCAGAGGTCTTGCAATCCTGGAGTTCTTCTTTAAAAACTTGCCTTTGATGAGGATAGTCAACATTTTATGACTTGACACATGAGAAGCACAATCCTCACTTGTTATCATGTTGGTATAATAGGAACCTTTATTCTGGGAAATACCGGTAAACTTCACTAATTCAGGAAAGTGAAAGTAGTCATTGTAAACTTTTACTGGGAAAAACCAGAGCGTGTTACAGCTGGAATGTCTGGACAAGTCTGAAAAGAATCAGAAGTGTTTCATTCTGTAAAGAACTCTGTAGAATTTGGCGTACGATAAGAATGTACCTTTCTGGCTCTGCTCTATGAAGCAATATGCAAGTTTAAAAAAAAAAAAATGAATGAAAAAAATTTATTAATATGTAAATGTAGAACAAGCAAAACTTGGAAAAGAACATTTTTGTGAAGCCTAGGCCTGCCCAGCATATGGGAGTTGTAATAACTCTGCAGCAAGTAGCACTTTGCTGACAGTCATTTCTTCTGCAGCACATGTATCTGTTTATGTTACACGATATGCTGACTCAGGGGAGATGTTTAGCGACATCTCCTATTATATTGTGTCTCCAGAGTTGTCTGATGTGTATTTTTTTAATATATGTAGCTCAAATGTCTTTTGGGTAGAACGGGAAGGGTAAGAACCTCTGTCAAGTGGACCTTTTTCTTCTCTGTTTGACCTGGTCACTAGAGCAGTGATGGGAAATCCAACATTTTACAACAAGAATAGAGAGGTAATCTTCCACAGGGGAACATCTGTTCCAAGACAGATGGAAGCATCTGTCTAGAGAGGATTTGCTGCAGTTTGGAGAAATGTTAAGAAGTGTTAATTATTCCTTACTCTACCCAAAAATAAAAATGTAATCTTGAAATACATATAGTAAGCACACACCTGTTCCTTTTTTTTATTTTATTTGGATTTGCCATATCACCATATTACAGGCCAGCCCCCTTTTCAAGATCAGCGTGTTGACAGGACAGAGAATTTTAAAGGAGTTCCATCATAAGAGAAATATGGAGGCTGCCATTACTGATCTCAAGATGCTAGATGCTTTCCCATCGTGCTTGCTCACCTGCTACAATAGTTTGAGTCAGTAACTTGGAAAAAATGTGCAGACAAGGAATTTTTTAAAACTCTTTTGATCTGCATACTTGTTCTGAATAAGTGCCTCTAAAAATATTAAAGTAGGTTCGGCATAATAGGCAGGCAACTAGCAATTTGAGAAAAAGATTGGCAATTGTAGGCTCCAGGTTTACTTTAATTACAGGCATTGTTTTGTTTTTGTTGGGAGGGGGATGTTACAAAATGTGGGAAGATGCTGTAGTCCTACCCAGAAGCACATGTCATAGCATACTGAATTTATAACTGAAGTGGACATTGCTACATTTGCAGTGTTTTCTGGGCTTATCTGGAGTTTTTGTTGAAAAAGAAAGTTGTTAACCAAGGGAATAAAAAAAAATTAAATGTACATGTTTGAAGCGAACACACCTTTAACTCTTTCACTAACTTAAGTGAACATGTACTTCCAAAGTGAACATTTGGTAAATCAACCCAATGGTGTTCAACCAGTATATTCCTTAAGGTGTGAAATCAAAATCTGTGTACTTTTTGTAATCGATTATAGCTCTTCTATACTACACTATACTGTAAAAAATTGCAGCTATTTATATATTTTTTTCATGATATGATTGTTATCAAACCCATTCTTCTAAATTATTTTTTAGCAGCGGGTTTTATCTTAGAGATTTAATATTTTGCCATTCCAGACCGCGGTTAGTGCATTATTGTTTGCATGCTAAGCACTGTATTGTTTTTTATTTGACCAAAACAAAAAACACAATTTAGTCCCTTCTAGAGATACAGACATATCGATTGGACATATTACACTAAAGAGATATGGGCTATTACCTCCAACAGACTTGTGGCTCTGTAGCCATAAGGACTATGGCTACAGAGCCACAAGTCTGTTGGAGGTAATGGCCCATATCTCTTTAGTTTCAGGCAGATCCGTTACAAAAAAGCATGTTTCGTCTGGGGGGTACCAGGGTCTTATCTGGTAATGGGGGTAGTGATGTACAGCTTAGATAATCTGTATTTGGGGAGGTGGTATATCATTGACTTACTTTTATATCTGCTGCAGTTATTGCATTAGTTAAACATTTTTCTTTTTGTTGTAGTTTCTGCTATTTTTTTCAATCACTTCCCATGTGACTGTGCTCACTTTTTGCCATTTTTATTAACTACTGCATTAAAAATTACTATCAGCGTATGACATATCACCAGCAAATACACAGTCTTACGAGTGAAAAGCCAAGATGTTTTAGACTTACAGTAGGTCTGCCTGTGGTAAAATGACTTGTCTAAACAGATTCAAGTGTGGTCACACTGTACGTATTTAATTAAATTCTAATATCACTTACTTGGTAGAAAAGAGTAAAACTCAGGAAGGAAGGTTGTACTTTGTGCCATAGCAAATATTAATGCTGAATCATAAACTGAGCTGTTGGAAGAACCAAGGAGTGGCTCAATACAGGAAACTGATAGACAACAGTGAACTTTATTAGCCTTCAAGCTTTTATTAGTGTTTTAATTTGTTTATTTGTGTGGGTAATAAAGCTAAAAATTCAAGAAGCAGCAAATAAAATATTGGGGTTTTTTTTTGCACTTTTTAGTGAATCTGCGCTGGATTATTTGTGCCTTTAGTCATGACCTCATATTATATAAAAAAAAAGTAGAAGAACACTATAAGGCCAAAGGTTTGTTGACACCTGAGTATACAACTATAGATGACTAAAGGCATGTGAACACCACTTCAAATTATTGAATTTGTGTTTCCAGTGAAGATGACTGTTAATGCTACAACAGACAAATACATTTTAGACAATGGTGCATGTTCAACCTTCTGGCAACAGTTTGGTGAAGACCCTTTTCTGTTCCAAAAAACAAATAAACCTATATACAGTAGCTTGTTGAACATCCCAAAACAAATGGCATTAATATGGAGTTGACCCCCGTTTATGTTGCTAAAATAACCTCCACTTTTCTGAGAAGAGTTTTTACAAGATCTATGGGAATTGGTGCCTGTGTAGTCATAGGATAATTTTTTAGGTCAGGTACTGATGTTGGATGAGAAGACCTGGCTCACAGTCTGTGTTCCAATTCACCCCAAAGGTGTTCAGTAGGGTTGAGGTCACAGTTCCATGTAGGATCACTCAACAACATCAGACTCACCAACCATGTCTTTATGAAGCTAGCTCCATGTACAGGGACACAATCATGCCAGAACAAAAAAAATTGCCACAAGGTTAAAAGCATACTATTGTCTGAAATGTTTTTGTATACTGTATTAACAGTACCCTTCACTGGAAACACCAGAGCTTGACAAATTAGGGGGTGTCCACATACGTTTATCCATATAATGTACATACATTATATAACTGGAAGATAACTATTTTAAAATACTGAGAACAGTAGAGGCGTGTGCACAGAGATGCACCATTATAATACAGCCATAGTGCCTTAGAAAGGTATCTGGCCCTTGGCGCAGACATAATATTATAGTCCATTAAATGAACACTCAAGTTCTTGTATTTTTCTAGTATAAAGTAGTAATTCTTTTGACTTTTTGAATGCTTTCTATAAGACTATGAGACTTTTTAAGTCTGGTTCCAACACTAAATACTTGTTCTATTTTTCTTTTACAGAATGCTATGAACTTACCACCTGATAAAGCCAGATTGTTGCGGCAGTATGATAACGAGAAAAAATGGGAACTTATCTGTGATCAGGTAAGAAATAAAGTGTGTATATTGTGTTAAGCAGTATTAGAAGGTGTGTATTTCAGCACATCACTAAAATTATAATCACTTCTTTACTGCTCCTTTCTCTCTTAGTGCAAATTTATGGTTGAGGACTGGCCTGACTATTAGCAATCAACTCCCTATCAGGGCATCTGAGTTTATTGCAAATGCATTATATATATATATAATATACAAGTCTTTGGATAGAATATAATAATCATAATATAGAACAGTTAACAACTAAAAATGTCAATGTCATGTCAAAATTACATTTATGTACAGTAAATGTCAGAATAATTACTCATATTGTATACTTCCTCAGAATACTGGAGCAAAACTCCAGTTTTTAAACAGAAGAAACAATTACCCCTGTAGTATAAAAAAAAAAAAAAAAGAAAGAAAACTTTCCTTAATGACCACCAGCTTCATTCAACCTCATCCTGTGAGCCCAAGCTGTAATGGACACAACCTCTTGAACGGTGTCATAATGCTAGTCAGGGCTGACAGTACTACTGCACTGAACTGTGCTCACACATCATTATGTAGACATTGTAAGAGTAAAAACACCAAAAAAACAGCTACTCCGATCTTTTCCCTGGACATCAAGCATATTGTAATATGTTTGGGCAGCTTGGCACAGCTGGTAAGTCCAATAAATGTAGAAAGTCACTAGCATGCCAAGGCATTCCTTTCATTGTGTTACTGGGAAAGCAATGCCCCAAAGTGACCTACTTTGTTGCTTGATAAAGGGACCCTACATGCAAAATAAAGTTCCGGTTGGTGTGCTGGTGACTTTCTACATTTATACGTCCCAAGCCTTCCTCTGGAGCTCAGGATTCTGGGCACTGACACTGAGATGACTACTTTCTAGATTTCACCTGCTTGCCTCCAACCACTTATTGGTGGATTTACACCTTCCTGGTGGCTTATCTCTAATGATTGGCAGCTGTTTTGAAAAGCTAATCTTAGTGAGAGCAATTAGTGAAGTGATGTAACTATTCAGAGTGATGTAACTGAGGCAGAGGGATTATGTCATGTTCCAGATCTCTTTCTGGTGAGATAGGCTGTATCCTTTAACCCTGAATGTGAATGTTGCCTCTCCACTGTGATGTGTCGCTAGATTTCTGTTCAGGAACACAAGTGATTACCGTAATCATTATCCGTCTCTCACCAGCACTGGGATATTGTCAGCTTCCACTTCAAAGGAATGGGATAACAGCTTGTGTCACTCTAGATGGCAACCACAGGCAGCTGGAGAACGAGAACCAAATCTTTGTAATATTTGTAACTGTATTTCTACAATTATAGGAAACTAGTCGGAACTGATATAAATATGGAGGCTGCAGTTGCTGATCGCTCCTTATAATATTGCTAGCTGCCTGGCTGTATGCTCACCATAGGGGATCAGCAAGACAACTGGTGTTTTCAGAACGAGGTCAAGAATAGCAAACGACCATATTTCTCCTATGAGGGGTTTACATTAAAGGGAGGGGTCTTTTTGACTTAATGAAATTCTGTGCTTTGCCCATGCAGATCTGGATGCAGCAGGTATTTGCTTTGGCTCCTGATGCTGATTGGAGAAGAGAGGGAGGAAAGGAAAGGTGACAGTCCTGGTAGGGATTGGTAAAGCACAGGTTTGCTTTAGGCACATTTGCCCTGTTTTCTGGTTGGCATTAGTTAATTGAATCATTTTACTTACTATAACTGGAGGGGATCTTTTAAATATGAAGGTAAAGCCAAAGCTTATTTTTTTCCTTTTTGGATAGAGTAGGGAATGGTTAAAAAAGTGGTAATTTTTTTTGTTGCCAGTGTCCTTTTAGAGAGATAGCCCTTTACTTCCTCTCCTTGGAACACAAAAAAGTGAGTTGAAATCACTACAAAGTGAGGGGTAGTCTCATCTTAGAAAGCTGTCAATCTAGGAACAAGTGTCCCATTTGAACATTTACCCTCCCTCCTTGTTGTGGTTGACAATTGTAAAAATGTTGGATTCTCTATCACTTTTAGTAATGGGGACTGAGATTGCCTAGACAAATAGAGATTCTAATAATTAGTTGTTTCTGTGAATGGGGAGAACAGAAACATTGTCATAGGAACAGGAGTCACAGCCCGAGGTGATCAACGCTGTATGAGATACTGCTTGGGGGCTCAAACAGATGTACAGGAGGTATTGCTTGGCAATCAGGAGACTTGGGTAGAGTATGGTCCATCATTCAACTATTGGCCATCTTGACCTTTTCTGGGAGGGATTACACCCCAATATTAATACTTGTAGAGGTGTTTCACTTTCATAGACCAAGACAAGTTTTGATCAGGTAAATGCAAAAGAGGGACTCATATTATTGTTTTTCTTTTACATAGGGACCCCTTAACTACCACTAGATACAGCTGCTGATCCCGTGGTGCCCATAAAACTCCTTATCCATGATTTATGGGGAATCAAATGAAAAAAACGCATAGTATATGGACATCTTAAGAATGTTTTGCTTGCCTTTACAAAGGCTGTGTGGAAATCAAAGCTAAGAACTTGCGCATTTTATTGCCAGGGTCCTTAAAGTAAATGCCAGGCCATCGACATTCAAATATTTATATATCCTTACCAAGCAATAAATGAGCTTGTGACTGCTTGTTTTAAAGCTCGTTAAGAATATGTAAATATTTAACTGTCCATAGTCTGGCAGTTATACTTTAAATAGTAGAAGGTAAAATTGTAATAGCTCAATTTATAAATAAAAAAAAGTCATTATAGATGGGTTTTTGAAGTTACGTAAGGAGCCTACAGATAGCAGCAATGAGGGTTTTGATGTTTTCTAGCAAGTACTGGGAAAATGCAACAAGGAATCTGATTGGTTATTGAGGGAAGAATCCATAATCTTAGCTCCATTCTTTCCCTGTATGTAATTCTCGATGTGGTTTTACCCCACTTCCTCCGGCTCCTATATGACCTCTGTATTATTAGCATTCTCTGCTACGGGTTACAGTGTAAGCAAATGAAATGAGCTGCTCATTTCCAATCTGTGACATTAATCTGTAACAATCTCTTTCTTCTCCGTGTCCCCAAATGGCCTGCTCCAAAGCTTTTTATTTCTTGAGAACTTCAGACTGAATCTGTGAAATCTGGGAAGAATATTGCACTTTTACTGCATAGAGCATATTCGATGTGTACATATATTTGTGGAATATGTTTAATTAGGTTTTTAGTTGATTTGGGAAAGTGTAATTTAACAATCTGACATAACATGAGTGTTATATCATGTTTTTTATGCTATTAAGATACCACTGAGGCACTGGCAGTACTAGCCGTCCTGGGCATGTGCAGGGAGTGGTGTGGGATTACAGGGGAGAGGAAATACAGTATTTTACTGGTATCCTTGAGCTGTCAAAAGTTGAAAGTGTAAAAAAAGTCCAATTTTCTTTTTCTTTTTTTTTAAGTTTAATGTGTAAGGGCTAAAACCCCTTTCATGTTCATTCACCTTCCGTTTTTACCCAGGTTTCTCCAGTACAGAAAGTGAATATAAATCTTACCATGGGGAAACCAGTTCTAGTGAAAACTGTTTAATAGGGGATACCTCCTTGCTTTGGAGAAATCTCATGTTGCTTCTTGCTGTGTCTCTGGGACTGGAAGTGAAGGCAAATCTCCCACATGGAACACAGGCAGCAAAAAAATAAAAAAAAACACCTGACAGGGGCCCTAACTATTCACCACATTATCAAAAAATAAACAAAAATATGTTTTGGCTTTACATACACTCTAAATATCCTTGAGGCTTATAGACACACTTTAGCCAAGATTGTCTTCACAGGTTTTAAGCAGGCACACTTTCTGGTTCCTTAGGATGACATACTTCTATGGCCGGGAAATAATTTAGTTCATATGCTGAAGGAAGACCAGCACCCACTGTACTTCCTGACCACTCTGGCTGTAAGCACTGCAAGTCTCGTAGGCCTCAGCGCTACAGTCACCTCTTTGCCCCCTCTCGTCCTGACCATTCTCAAAACGAGCCTGGGACTGTGTGGTCATGAAGTACAGTGGGCGCTGGTCTTCCTTCAGCATATGAACTAAATGATTTCCTGGACATAGAAGTATGGGACCTGAGGCACTTACAGTAGGAGAGGCCAGGAAGTGCAGCTGGAGCTGGGCAATCCTGTCCAGATTTGGGAATTAAGTAACATAGGGATATTAATGTAAGAGGGGTCCTCTGGTCCCACATCAATAGCAACATCACTTCTAACTGTGGATCACAATGGACTTAAACTTGGCCAATAAAGTGGCCAAATTTCTCTTGGCTGTGGATAGCTTGGAGTGCAAAGTATTGTGTCATCTACAGTGATGGTGTTGCTGATCCAGATGTTTGGCTCCCCCATTGAAGATATTAGAAGGATTCATATGTGAACTACATACACATAGCGATATGGCCCTTCTGCTGATGCATTCTGGTACATACATTGCCTTTTTTTTTTGCTGCATGAACCTGATGAATTCTAGTTACATACATTGCCCTTTTGCTGCATTAGTTTGGTCTATAACAGGCCTTCTTAGACCCACACTTTAAGAAGCCCTGGTTTATAGCACATGTACATTTCATAGCATTCAGACTCAGTTACATTCATTGTTTTATTATTAATGTATTTTATGCTGACACATGATTATTATTATTATACAGGATTTATATAGCGCCAACAGTTTGTGCAGCGCTTTACAATACTGTATAAGGAAGACATTACAATCACAATACAATTCAAGACAAGATGGCAAGGAGGGCCCTGCCCGTGAGGGCTTACAATCTAAAAAGGAGGGGCAAGTGATACATGAGGTGACACATGCATGACTTAGAGCACCCTACAGAAACAAAAAGGCACAAAGTAGCATTATTTGGCTGTTCAACATTCACAGTGGACATTAGAGTTCAAACAGCTATGTAGATAGGTTAAGGGTTCATATGTACCAGTGTTTATGTACACCGGCTCATCTGATGCAGGATTGTGAACAAAGCATACCGTAGTGATTTGCTCTTGTTCATTTGCTTTGGAAAATGAGGTGTGATAGGTGATATTTTACACCATGGCCCAGAAGAGATTTGCTGCAAATAGCTGACTCTGCTGTTACAGGTAGAGTC